TACCAGACTAGGCGAAAAAAAAATAACACGAAAAAAAAAATTCTACGAATGATCGGACTGAATTATACGTTTTACAGATTACATCTCGAGACGAAAATGGCTGTGCGCAAGGATTCATCTATGCTTGTAAACCCCTTTGGAACACGAGTGTTGTTGTATAGAATATAATGAACGGAATTCATAGAAAACTTGTAATTTCCTACTCCATAGTAAATCTACTCTGAACTATTTCGCTAGTACTAGATCTGATCTGTAAACCCTGATTTAGCAGGGTAGTCTTTTCGTAGTTTTTTTTGCTCAGAACAAAATTTCGTTATATGAGTGATGCTGTATAACAGTAGCTTAATAATGTCTAATTTTGAATAAATCATTCATGATAGATGAGTCGATGAAAAAAAGTACTCTAACACTATGCAGTACAGCTGATCTGTCACTGGATCACTATGGAACAGATTAGTTGAATTTGTCCTATGATGTTTATAGTGTAGAATGCGAAGCGGACCTGAAGTCCATGTCTCGACGATGGACGGAGGTGGCTGCTACAAACCTCTTTGTGTGTGGGCCAATCCATAATTCCCGAAGGCACACTTCACTGTTACTTGGGAGTACTTAGTTTTAGACGATTAGTGAGAGTGATATTCCAGAATAATTCAAATGCTGCGCAGAAAACGCGAAAATCGACGTATTTAGAGAAATATTAATATATGTAAGGCTCCGAAAAATAGTAAAATTAGTGGTTGGGCGACATTGTTATGGCTAAAGCTGCATGGAAGGGGTGTATGGACGAGCTGTACAAATGTGTGTGCCATTACGTACAGCTGGCTACAGTAAGCGCACAACTCGGGTGTATCGGTACAAATGATGCAACCTTTGTGGCTTCTACAACGCCGTCAGAACTCGTCCATTTTTGTACGTGTACGTCGGCTATGAAGAGTCCATTAGACTTTTTTTTCGAGGACACAGGTCTCAGTAAACATTTCTATCATGAACTATGCCTTTGAACATTTGAATGCGTCTATCCTGAAGGCCGTTAAGAATGCTATCGGTATGTCCTTATACTCAGGTAGGAGATCAATATAATGCTTCAGAATGTCGTCGTCCCCCTCCCAGCATTTGTCACCTATTGAATGTGCCCTCTCATAAAACGACTGAATCTGGCAGCGGACAGGTCGTGCTATACACCCTTTGTATTCAATCTAGGATAGTGTCCAACATTTTGTAGGCTTTGCACAATTCCAACTTCGTGTGCAACTTTGCAAATGAGAAATTCCCACAGTACTTCTTCAAACATCCTACGCTACTGAATATTCTGTCTGTTCCCCTGGGAGCTGATATCACGCGGTAAAAAGAGGGAACGTATCCAATGGAAAAACATTTTCCCGTTATAATAAGAGTTCTACGAAAAGCTGAACTGCAGGAGGAGCTGCAGAAATGTGTCGACGTCGATATTGAAAAGTGTTTCATTGATAAGTATTCCTAAACATTTGATTTCCGATCAGTAAACATGGCGATTTTTAAATAAAGAGTAAAAAGATAACTTTTTGGCGTTGCATATCCCGATCCTTGGGATTTGCCCACGCATTCAACTTACGTCCAGAATCGTGGTAGTGTTTGAATGCGTATGGGGTCCAGGGAATGACCAGGAAATGACTTCTGGAGGTCAGCCGAAATAGAAGTCAGAACTCTAGCCATTAGTACTAGTAAATCTGATGATGAGCCAGATGAATGGAAGGTTCGTTGGCTCGACAGAATCCCGAGCTGGATTTCCATACCCTGACCATGCACATAGCAGTAGGTACGCCACATGACGCTGCCTTACTCTGTGCCCTTTACCTGAATACAAAACTTACTTCCCGTTCAGTACATAGATGCCCATAGTAAAATTCGTGTTGATGGGTACCCCAACTTTGCAAGTTCTTCCGCCTCCATGTCTTCCGGGAAACGCTTCACAAGCTGCCTAATCGGTCTCGTTACAAAGGGTTTTCTTATTGTTGTTGTTCGCCAGCAACAACAACAACAACTCCTAAATAGGCCCTTCCACAAAGGCGCTCGTTTCTTGCCGAAATGATAATCATCCTCCTCGAATTCCATAGCTTCCTTGTTTGGCATAGTGCTGCATGAGTTTTCTGCTCCACGTTTTTTCTTCAGTAACTTTTCTTGTGATTTTTAAGTAAAGCAGAAACGACCTTTTCAAGTTAGCGAAAAGGCTTGTGATGCCACAGTCAGGATGGCAGGATGGCATATTTGTTCGGCAAAGGGGCCCAAATGTCTTTGCGAAAACCTGAAAGTCAGAGATAAATGAATTTTGCTTCCTCTAGCTTACACTTTGAGAGGATGTGGTGTAGCGTGAAGCAGCCACTATCATACACATGACCAGGAGATCGAATCCTTTATCTATATACCCCTCAGCCAAACAACCTTCTATGCCTCCACGGTCGATTAGTTGGTACCATACTCGACTAGGAGGATAAAGGCACTGATCTGTACATCGGCAAGTCACTGCATGCCGCTGTACAGACCATATACGCACTCGAAAGATACTACGATTGTGAATGACAGCCATATGCGGGGCCCATCCCGTACCAGGGCCGCATAATGTCAAAAGGTTATAATTCAGATTCTATTTTGAACTTCAGCTCAGTTCAAACGTTTCACGATCCAAGACATCTTCACAATAAGCCAAGGTTCATAGATTTTTGAAAAAGGTTACTCTCTACACTATTTTAGCTGTATTTTATTACTATTCTTTAGGAATAGAGCCTTGACTTCCCTAATTCGTTATATAACTTCTTTTGAATGTATATTTATTATCACTACCATAATCTATGAATTATCGTTCACTCAAACACGTCTGCACATGCTTTCTCATAAACTTCATTTTCTGCTTCTCACGAGGAAACTTAAAAAC